ACACCCAGGAAGTCAAACTTTTTTTGGCCACATGCGCCACTGAGCAACTTTTAGAGGAATGAAAGGTGCCCCGCCTCCAACACTGTATTGAGTTCTTTTTATACATCCATGATCCTGCTGTGTTAATTTGAATGGGAATGTCTGTTCTACTCTTATTCTATTTCTATAACCAGTAAGTGGAGGGAATACAAATGTTGCTATCTTAAAGCTGAAAGTGTTTTTCCAGGAAAACATCACCCTGCGCCCATCCCTGTACCGCGACTGCACCATAATTTTGAATGAGCACATTTCACATGTAGTGCGCTGTGAACTTTCCCATGCAGCAGGGTACATTGTCCAGACAGAACACTGTGCAGCTCAATAAAAGAACAGAATAACACCTCTGTGTTCCAGTGCTGAAAAGGCCAGTGGCAGCTCCAGTCTTCTGCTCGATGACTCTGTATCCTAATAAATCAGCAGGGTGGATCCCGGCTCTGCTTGCCACCGCACACCATTTGAAGTGGGGCCTGGCGGTCGCTTGCCAGGCCTCTGCTCAGTCCCCTGTGGTAATGACTCAACTGGCCAAAACACAGTGCCCCGCCCCAACTCACCGCCAAATCCCGGCCAAGACGCTTGGTACACACAGAAAAGGAAGAGCTTTAAAGGGTTCTCTGGTATGGGTAGTGGTTCTGTGCAGAACAGGATGAACCCAAGTGGTTAGATCTGAAAAACAGAGGGAAAAACTAAGAAACCCTGTCACATAAATACACAATTTGGACTTTACGCTGGATTCATTACATTAGAGAATTCTTGAAACAATCCGGTCCCATTAAAGATTTTAATTTTATTTTGTGGCTTGTCGTGTTTCCACATGAAACATGATGCTGGGAGAGGATTTAACATCAGGAAGGGACCTGAAGGAGACTTGGTCAAGGGTGGTTTGGCGGGGTCTTACCAAAATCTATGTCATGTTTTATTGGATGGAAGTTTTATATACTCTGCAGAGTATATTTAAAAAACTGTAGCAGAAAGAGGGGTTCTTATACAGCACATGGATCGATAGATAGGAGAACAATATATTGTGGAATTTCAGCAGGAATTTAAAGGGATAGTTCAGATCTTTTGAAATGGGGTTGTATAAAGTACTTATCCATAGTCAGTGTATTACATAGAGTAGATGGCAGGCGATGAGTTCCTAGTTTGGAGAAGCAGACAGGAGTACCACCACAGGAGCTAAGCAATGTACTGCTATGGCAGCAAAACAAATTTTAGCCACCTAGAATAATTAATATCAGTCTAAGAGGATGCAATATTGAGAATATTTTCACTGCTTTACCTCGTCATCAAACAGCACTTTCTTTGGCACTACTTTTTCTCAACCCTAGAACTTCCATAGTACACCGTAGGTCAGCTGTTCGGGTCAGAAAATGCTCACACCGAAAGAAAACCTCACTTTTCTAAAGATATCTAAGATGGTGCGTGCTTGTGTTTTTCCAGGCTGTTCTAACAAAGAAATGAAAACAGCTGTGGCTTGTTTCACTGAATATAGACATCAACACTCCACCCGCAACATAACTGACATAACTTGGACTTTGCAGTGAACATTTCTCCCCAAAGGATTGAGACACTTGCTGAGGAGCACTGCTGTTCCCAACCAGCAGGTACAATTATGCTAAATGCCTACAAACAAATGAAATGACTCACCGAACAACCAGGAAAGTGTGAAGCGTTGGCATCCTCTGATTCAGGAAGAGTCTAAGGTTGGGTTGTAACCAAGTCCCACGTATGGCAGCAGTAACTCTCTGGGCCTGTGAGCATGCATTTACAGTTCATACAGTTTGCTTTTGCTCCTTCTTGGCCTCTAGATTCAACAGGAGTTTCCCCTCTCTTTCTCTCTTTTAGCCCATTGAGTCTTCCTCCGCGAAGTTCCTCTCAGTACTCTGGTTCACAAAGGTATCCTTTTGTCTCCACAGGGAACAGAATTTTGTTGTCGCTGTCATAATCACTCCGGTTTTTTATTTTCTTGTACCTGTTCTCTCTTCTATAAACTGCTGAAAGTCTGACCCCAACTGCTGACTAACACAGCGTGCAGCACATTTGGGCTTTTACGCAGGAATAGGGAAGTTATCGGGAAAATGTAGCGCCAAAAGAAAGGGCTGTCTGATGGCATAGTAAAATAGTGAGCATATTCTAAATATAGCGTCAACTTATACTAAAATTGTTTTTAAGAGGTGGGCTTTTCTTAAGTGGCTAAAATATGTTTTGCTGCTGCCCTCGCCTACAGCAGCACATTGCTTAGCAGCTGTGTGTATACTGCACCTATGCACGTGACCTACGCCGTTGGGAGCATTCATACTTGTGCGGTGGTGTGTCTGTGTCACTCTGCAGTTACACCTCCAAAACATTAGTTGTTGTCGGGTTTCTGTGAAGTGCTGTAAAGTTTAGTTGATTCAAAACACACATTAAACACACATAAAACATGGCTTAATAGTGACACTTTTAAACACAAGTACACAAATCAGCTTCACTATAACTTGCAGCATTCACAGACAAACATTTGTCTTTTATCTGGACACATTTTCCTACAAATACAACATGCTAACATTATTAGCACAAGCCTATGGCATTTTACATTGCATAAATTAGCCTAGCAGCTAATGGACTTTTCCTCCACTCATTTGAAGCAAGGGACAACAGCAACATTTAGTTTCACTGACAAAACAACTGTCTTATACTAAACACATTTTCCAAACAAATATAACATGCTAATGTTATTACCACAAGTCTATGGCATTTTACACTGTATAAATTAGCTTAGCGAATAGCACAGATTTCCTCTGCTCATATCAAGTCAGGATAAATCACACACAAGACTTAAAATGCTATTTTTGTGGAGGCTTTATTGTCTTCACAATTTATTGTTTCTTATTTGTGAAATTAAAGTAAATAAAAGCTTTGTTTCCACTGAGAGAAACGGTTTCAGCTTACAGAAACAGACAGGAGGTCTTCGTCATTGCGACATGTAGTTACATTTCTGGGGAGGTTTACGTCAGGCTACAGTTTAGGGTACGTAAGTATAAATCCCGCTCAATACACTTCGTGCTTCTCCAAGTCGGCTGAATTTCATCGTCGTATCTGACCGAAGGACTATCCTATTGTCAAGGATCCTCTGAATTCTACTGAAAACCAAGTCCTTCCTTCAGAGAATTTTCAAGGACGCATGTGTGTATCCTCAGCCTGCATGAAGTACCCACAATTCTCCGCGCACTACGTCCTGGAATTGAAGGTGGGGCCTCTTCAATGACGCACCCCTGGGCACTCACTAGTCTGTTCCAATGTGTGTTCACAGAATGTAAGGACGGAGTCTGGTGTAGCCTCTGTAAGAAAGACCTGATTTGACCTGTCCTACCAAGGAAGCATCCTTAACTTTGAGAAGCACTGACAGACGACCTCATACAACCTCACTTCAAAAAATGCAAACTGTCCCTTTGAGTGGTTCTTTAATTGACCCTTGGCCTAACCACACACCTCCTTGGTTACTGTTGCTATGCCTGTCAAACTTTCCATTCCCACACAGCACGTATGCAGTGTATGAGGATAATTACGGCAGATTTACAATCAGAATTTAGTACTTTTTAATATTTGGACACTGTAGCATTAGGTACAACAGGTTTCTGTCTCTGTAAAGTCTTTTTGTATAAAAGTAGAACCTTGCTCAGTCAAAGGTCACAGGATTTCAGTCCAGCAAAACACCACGCCACATGACTTGTGTGTTATTGTGTTTCTAAACTAACATGGCTGGAACTGCTCTTCAGAAATTAAGTAGTTTCAATTGATTTTAACTGATGCCGCCAATAAAACAACTTGAACCAGAGAAGAAGGGAAGTCGTCTCAGTGAAATGAGCTGCTCCAGTGCTTGTTTGGAACTGGATCCCTGCACGCTCTCTGCAGCACATGGTCGGGCTCTGCTTGGCATACGCTGTTCACAAGAGGATCAGCACATGAATGCATGCCCGTCGCTGTGTTTACAGCCTGTGGCCGGGGCGCGGTGCAGCAGCCTCATCCACCACACTGGGCATCTGCATCCAAGCCAGCAGTGCCAGCAGCCACACTTCTCAGCTCCTGTTTGTTTTGGTCTTCGGGGAGGAGGATGACGGGTCTCTGAGTCTCATGTGCTCTGTGGTTCTGCAAGTACACGTGTGCGTGCATGTGAGCTCAAGTGGTGGGAAAGTTGTTGTTTTTTCTCCTTCTTTGAGGTTAATAATTTGTGTGGGGCAATGGATGCGGTCTGTGCCCTTCCAAGTCATACCCGGGGCAACATAATATTTACAGACAGAGTCATATTTTATCTGCTGCTGACTTGAAACTCTAATTTTGGATCCTTTTTGCCCATCGGAGGGCGGCACAGAGAAATAGCAGTCAGTTTGAAAGATGAGATTTGTGTGTTTAAATATACCTATTCAGTTTATCTATTGCCTAAATGGAACTCTCAATATTTTTTCCTCCTGAAGCTATACTTCAAGTTCTTCTCTTTCATGTGATTTATTATCAGAGAGGACTGAGGGGCTGATGGCTTTGGATGCTTTTAGAAGAAAAAGCAAACTTTAGAGAGTTATTTTATCCTATCCTTCTCTCATTTAGCCAAATTTGCACCCCTACAGGGTCTCAAACCCCTGATTAAAAACGGCTCAATCTCTTGGAGGATGTAGAGGGACAGATCCAGGACAAGGGGCTTTCTAAGAGGCATGACAGTGCATGGGAACAAGCAGAAAAGTCATGCTCGGTGCATCCGGCGATAAATTGTATCAAAGGCCAGCAGCAAATATTGTCTGAACTCAACCACGGCAACACTGTGGGGAACATTGCTGTGTATGATCTCTGTGAAATGACTCATCACTGCTGGCAGAGCACCACACTGATGTCCATCATAAGAGATGTAATGCTACCATCTAGTGGAGGAATTCTGGAGTTTCAGTTCTGTGGTGTTCATCCAGGAACCTGATTTTTTTCTGTCTCTGCAGGTGATGGACAGCTCCATGCCTCTGATTGGTGAGCATGTGGAGGAGGATAAACAGCTGATCACAGAGCTGGTCATCAACAAGATGGCGCAGGTGCTGCTGGGAGTCACCACACCTCAGCCTTCCTCTGTCAAGGTACTTTGATACATTACGTCTGACAAATCAGCTTGGTTACACACTTAATACTAGTATTATTATTATAGTATTATTTACCACCACTTCTACCATTATAAATACCATCACTAATATTACTACTGTTACCACTCTACTCATTAAGGGTCATAGCTTCCATTGAGGCCAATGAGGTTATGTCTCTTTATGTTTTCGGTTTGGTTATGTTTTGTTCTGCCATATCAAATACATCAGTAAATAACCCATTCAGGAAATTTAAAGCTTTTATGTGTCTTAAAAAAGGCGGTTGCTAACAAGTGGCTAAATGAGACTACAGAACGGCATCATGTAGCACACAGCTTTACAGTCTCATTGCTGCAGGGATGTTCAGTCTTGCAACCATGGTGTCATTAATTTATAGCCTAATGTCAGCTTTTTATTGCTGGTGATTGCATTTACACTTAAAGAATCAAAAAAGTGACCACTGCCACCTCCTAAATGTTTGCTTGCCACAGATCTTATTTTCTGCAGTAATGCAAAATACAATGGGAAAATCCCAATCCCATAGGGCTTTTTGGCTAGGGAACCAGGATGATCCTAACTACCAGGTCAGCCCACTAGAAATAACATCCCTACAGCACTCTGTTGAACAGCCAAACTAATTAACTCAAATGTGGAAAAAGTCCTGTGCACATTAACTTCTATTGTTACTACTTACAACAATGTTCCTGCTACTGTTACTTATTACCATGACCATAACTTCCAATGCACTCTACTATCTCACACATTTTTTCCAAGATCAGTGACTTTTGATGTTGTGGTTGTGCTGTCTATGTGTACAGGCTCATTACCTTTAGCTAATATATGCAAAACAACTTAAACGTCAATCACTGTACTGACATCCCTGTATCATTCTTTATCCACAGACCACACAGCCCAGACGAGGTAGGAGACATTTTTATATTGTTGTTTGATTTTGACTGAGTACTGGCTACAGCAGTGTGATGGTCAAGTATAACAGCTAATCTACGTGTAATTTGTGTACACCTCCTGCAGGGGGACACCGCTCTGCTTCTGCATCTCCATCCCAGTCAGCCCAGGGTTCACCTCAGCGAGCCCGATCAGCCACCACCTCACCCAGCCAGGCCTTCCAGCCCGGCCCCATCCCTGCCACCTCCGGGCCTGGAGCTCAGAAACAGTCACCACAGCTAAAGTACATTCATATATGAATACGATACCATCAGTATAAAATCTGACTGTTTTAAGTATAAAATGTTTTACTCTTGTTAACTACCATTCTATTTACCACGCAGCAAATCCCAGTCGCTGACCAACACCTTTACAGAGACGTTACGAGGAACCCTGACAGATGACGAGGCCAAAGCTGAGACCATCCGCAGCCTCCGACAGTCCTTCGCCAGCCTCTTCTCCGACTAAAAACCTCCCCAGAAGCTTCCTCTCTCTGTCAGTTGTCAGGTTTGGGGGGAAAAAAAAAGAAAACAACCTGACTGGTTAATCTGTTCTGGAGTCTCCCTCCTCCTCAGAGCCTCAGCTTCCTGTTCCTCCTCTTTCCTTCTCACTGTTTGTGAACACCTGGTGAATCCTGCTGTCCTCAGATCAGTGATTAAACTAACACTAGAAAGGCCAAGACTAGATTTTGGGGTTGAAGATGAAGATGTCAAACTTTAAAAGCTATTGACATTTGCCCTCCTTACAGGACATGTAAAGAGATAAGTACAGACGCAGAATCAAACCAGACCCCATTCAAATTTCTGCAACTTTTAAATAGCTTGGTGATTATGTCTGTTTCCTCTTTGCTGGTCATGCCAGTTTGAATAGATGCAGAAAAAGGTCAATATAAGCATCAGTTCGGCTGATATTTGGCAGTCTTTCTTCCCCTTTTACCCATAATCCTTTGTGTTTTTATAGAATAGCACTGCGGTGATCATGTTAGACGACTGAGTCATTTTCAGGCATTTCGATGCTGTAATTTGGCGTGTTTAAAGTTGAAAAAGAGTTGAAAAGCATCAATAAAAACATGTGAATTCCCCCTTTAGATCAGCAGTCAGCTGTCAGCAGCTTGGCCTTTCTAGTGGTAAAGAATCACAGTAAATAATCATAATCTATCCCATACTGCTCGGTATATAGTCGTTATTCTGCATTCTGTTTGCCCAGCCAGTGAAACTGTTCATTATTGGGTCATGTTTGTTTGTTTGTTTGTATATATATATTTATTTATTTATGAAATTAAGTTTATTTGAATTCCTTTAATTGACTCGCAGCTTCCAAACTGTTTGCAGACGTCTACGGCAATATTCTTATCCGAAGCTGTCTCTCTTGAGAAATGTACTGAATCCTCACGGTTCACCAGCGAATTTCGAGCATCTTGCCAGCAGCCGCATTTCTCAGACATCCATGTGCTGTAGACACATATTGGCTTACGTAGTGACTCCTCTACCTAACATTACCAAAGTGCTTTTGAATAAAATCATTAAATAACCCCCCCCACCTGCACTGGGTCAAGAAACCAATCACAGCGAACCAACCTTTCAGTTTGTGATTTAACAAGGTGCCAATGCTGTACTGGCCTACAGCCGTCGTCTTCCATCACAGCCCAGATCTTCCCCTGTGGTTCTTCTGTTTGTTAATATTTCGTGCTTTGTGAATAGCACTATATAGTATTTCCTGTGGGGGATCTGTATCATAACTACTACCGCTGTGTGTTTAAAGGCGAACAGTGAGGATGTAATATTTTGACGTGTTTGAGTTTCCACTGAGACAGGAAAAGATTTGGTTGTGTGACATCACATCTTACATGTTTATTTTCCTTTATTCTCTACAACCAATGATAATGTATCATCATCAGTTATGTGTATGCAACATCTGCAGTGGTAGCAGCCGAAACAGACGTCCTCTTCCATCCTGCTTTGGAACTGCATGTTAAAGTTAAGTGAATGTCGAGTCCAGTTGGTTCAGTTGATCTTAACTATTCAAAAAAGACAGAAAAAACAATGGTAACGCTTTATTTTATGGGTGCTGCAATTGTCTTAATAATTTCCTAGGAAGCTTCCTAGAAAAGACGATGTAATTTGGTGCAAATTATAGCAATAGAATATGTTTATTTATGGCACCGGTGTCCACAGCGCTATCATTCACAGTATAAGTGGTTGTTGATTTCCAGAGGTATTTTATTGAACTGCTCTAAAGATGATGTTGTAGCCTTGAAAAAAAATAGTTGTTTTGTTATTGTCATTCAGATTTAATGACTAAAAAACAGGCAAAAATTGAATTTATGTAGATGTTTATTTATTTGGGTATAAGTGTGGGTATAAGACGCTCAAGCTATCACTTTGTTTGGAAGTATTCAAAAGTGTGAATGCTGTCTCAGTTATATAATTATCTCTAAATTATACAGTAAAATGGAAATGTAAGCATGCTTATATTTCCAGGAAATAATTAGAAAGCTCCCCAAAAATAAATTCTCAGCAAAGTAATTGGTTCCCAAAATAATTCCCTGGTGCATCCCATTTTTGTTGTATCAAACTTACAGAAGGAGATTAACAGTATATTTGGCTTTCCACGTAGAGCACAATCACAGTCTAATTATGTATGAATTGCTCTTCTTGCAGGAAGTTATCTAAATTAATAAGCTGTCCTGTCATCGACTCTAAAGTTATCTGTGCTACAAGCTGAAAAAGCCTAGAGATATTTTCCATTTAGATGGACATGGATAAAAAAGACAATTATAATTCATATTCCCACCCGTACTCCAAACAGATACCCAATACAAACAGGATATCTGAATATCTGTGAGCGGTGTGCAGTAGTTTTAATGGACCTGTCATGATTCCAAAGCTTGTAATAATAATAATAATAATAATAATAATAATAATATTATAGTAATAGTAATATTATTCATAACAATGCCCGCATTTAAAGCTCATTTTTATTTAAATGCATGAAGTTGTATAACATTTATAATGGGCTGTGTGAGTGTCTGTGTGTGTGTGTGTGTGTGTGTGTGTGTAAAATTGTGTGTTTGCCATTTTGATTAATAATGATACTACCACAAAAAAGAACTGCCCGTTTTTGCAATAATTATGTTAATAATAAGTGTGACACCATTTTGATTTTAAACTATGAAGCTTTTTTTCCCTTTTTTTTCTTTTATGAAGCTTTTATTTGATGCTTTGTCAGTCTCACTGGCAGAAACATGAAAAAATAACATTGTTCGTCCATTGAGCCGAAAAAGCTCAGCTTGTTTCAGCTTGGTAAAATACACACTACAGTGCTCGTCACCAACAACCGTACAAAGCAATGATAGTGGAGGAAAAATAATCTGGTTGCATTTAATATCAGTGGGCAGAGTCACAGAATCACAGTTTTAAGGGTAGTTAATTGACCATTTGCTAAGCCCCGCTCTCTCTGTTACTGTTGTCATCTGTCAAGATTTCTGTTCTTGCACATTAAATATGGCATTTACAATGATAATGACAGCTTTACCTTTATTTAAACATAGAGAATCCTTGTTATTAAGGACACAGTTGGACTTCAAGTAGGGCTGCCCCCTTAAAGTCCAAGATTCCAATCATTAGTCAGAGACCCCTTAAGTTGTTTTTGTTTTGTTTGTTTGGTCAGTCAGTGTATTTCTGGGGACAATTCAGTGCCCAGATTTAGCTGCAGAGTGAGCGCTCCTCCCTTTACACTGCTCTCTATTACAGGCAGCTGCAGACCCAGAGCCAGGGTGAGTGCGTTAGATGGAGGCAGCTTCCCGGTCAGGCTTCTACTGACCGGGGGGTAGTAGTAGTACTAGTAGCAGTATCTCACTATCACTATCCTCATTCATATTTTAAGAAGCTACAAATTATATTCAGCCACAAAATAAGCCTGAAAAGCTGCAAATCAGGACAGAAGTACAGAGAGTCGTTGCATAGAGATGATACACCATCTCATCTAGTTGCATTGGTGTGAACCAGCAGGTTTTTAGAACGATACAGAACAGCAATTCACAAGCAGTTGACAGTTTCAACTTGTCTTGTCATGAATCTTTGGTCTGAAGTGGGCCTAACATTCCTATATTTTGTTTGGACCATTGGCTCCGTAATGCTAGCAGGTTACTTTAACGGCTAACTTTAGCAGGACATGCTAAAGTTACCTTTGAGCAGAAAAAACACTATTTAGGGGTGGGAGGGTTTTAGTAAATGGTCAGTTAGCCTGCTTACCTTCCAACATCTGGAAGTCTGTGTTAGTGATTTTTTTTTGCCATTTAAAAGTTTAATAACACTGTGATTCTTAAACTCGCCCCGACCAGTCTCCCCAGTTATTGTTTGTAAAAGCAAAATTGTGATCCACAGTCAGCTTTATCTCAAAGTGTCCTGTTATGAGCACTCTTGCGAGCATTTCATCGCCTTTGGCACTGTGTCAAAAATGGACCAAATTAGCATTTCAATGTGAGTCCGCTTGAAGGTGGAAATCATATCGTTTTGTCTTTATTATAAAGATGCCTACCACCTAGTGTGTAATACTGCAGTGTGATAAGCCATAACCAAACCATCCCTTATATGCCACGCAATAATGGCTGTGACGTCACTGATAACCTGACATATGAACTTAGATCACTGTGTCCGTTAACTTTAAAGACATTAGGAGGCCTGCTCTGTCCTGCAGAGGCAGTAGCTGTTTTTGATTTTTAAAAGAGAAATAATGCCACACAGTTTAATTATGTGCTACGAGTACTTGTGTCAGGATGAAAGATGAACATTGATGTCACTTCTCTCAGTTTAGGGTTTAAAAATGCAGTTTAAGATCCAGTTGATGCCATACATGTACCCATCTGTTGGGTCTAATCAACGTCAGATGATTTTAGTTTGCTTTGTTTAATGTATTGCCAAATAAAGTCTCATTCAGCTGCTCCATCTTAATGAACCTGATCCTTTTGATTTGATTCAATTCGAACTGAGCTGCAAAGTTTACTAGTAACTACCTCAAGTCCAGCAGTGCTCTGCAGAAACTGACTATAGAGTTGTAGTACTGGAAAGGATTCTGTGAAATGAGAACTCCATTTTAGTGCAAGAGAAGCGGGGATTAGAAATCGCTCTGTCAGCTGGAAGGGATTAGTTTGATTCATGGACTGTGGAGAAACAACAATGTAGTATTTGTGACATCAACCTGAGGAGGAGCAGAGTCGAGGTTCCCTGCAACATCCAAACATAGGCAGCAGGATGGAGACTGGAAATGCCGTCGGTGTAACAACTAACACCGTAAAAGCGTTACAAAGTCACTTCCCAAATATACTTTGTTTTTTTGGCTTTTGCCTTTATTGGACAGGACAGGTTAAGCGTGAAAGGAGGAGAGACAGAGGTCATGACATGCAGTTAATGAGCTTTAACTTGACTGACAGCTCTCCGAGCGCTCTGTCACAGGACTTGTCGACACGTTCACAGGTGTTTTGGAAAATGTGGTGTTTTCTAATGGTGTTTTGTCCACTGGCAAACTTTGTTTTAGGTTCACTGAAACAAACCTTTCATAAAACTCCAAAACTCCAAACGTGTTTTTCAGAAACTGTGTTTTCAGTGTTGACGTTTCGACCGAGAAAACTGAGGCAATTTTTTGGCTTGAAACATCAGAGTGTGCGCCGTAATCTCCTTTGTGAGGCGTCACCAATGAGGCGACATTTCGTGCTATGGCAGACTTGACCAAAATAGTACTGGATCTAATGTTGCTAACAGGAATTTTACATGTTTACAAATCGTAAACGTTGACGCAAACGCACGCAGACACAAACGCATTGGGACGCATCGAGGCCCATTGGCTGCCTTGATGCGTGCTTGCGTCTCAAAATATGTTGTCCATTTTTTTTGATACGCGACGCAGCGATGCGTGTAATACCATGCGTTGCCAGCGGGGGTGATAATGCAAGCAACATACTTGAAATTAACCACTTTTTGTTATTCACAGAAGAAGCCGGTATGAAAAATGACGGGCAGACCCTTATTTATATGACAGTTCTAGTGCAATGCACTCTAATGAAATAGCTAGCTACAGCAGTATTAGCTAGCCGGAATGTACCAGTGACTCTGCTAGCCCCTATTGCGCGAGCGATGTATTGCATTT